CCACTCAATCCCTTCTCCACTTTTTATGCTTTAATTTTGTAACTTGAACAACTGCTTAAATGATAACAATATATAATTTATCAATTAGTGATTTCTCTTTTTTTTGAAATTCTGTATTATTTCTCTTTCTTTTCTGTTTTGCTTTTTTTCTCTAAATAAAAAAATATAATGTGGTCACAATTTTAAACATTTTCATTAAAAATAGTTCATCAAATGTCCTCAATGATTCAAAATCACCAAATCCAATAGTATCTATTTAATTCTCATTTTTAACACTTGATCATGACATTTGATATTTTTGCTCACCTATTCCTAGGTGCGGCTCCTCTTATTTAGCTATCATTTATTTCAATCTGGAATAATTTCCCTACTCTATCATGGCATGTTTAATCTCTCTTTATATTTATGGGTATTCCACTTTTAAGATGTATGCTTTCTTATTTTTATGTAGAAACTATTCAAATAATTCTCTTAAAATGAATTAGACTCTGTTTTATTTTCCTAGTTTTGTATGTGGAATGAATGCAGAGATATTATTTTCTATAGTGCTAAAGCAAAAGCTGCGACAATGCGTGACAATGCTAGGAATGTCAGAAATGATCAGGAAGAAAGTAAAGCTCTTTGTATAACAACAGCAAAAACAATAAAACTAAACTATTCAGAAAAAGATCAACACTCCTAAACAGTAACCACCCCAGTGCAAAGAGGTTTACAGTTAATGCAGATCATTCCTTGATTACATTGAGTGTGTAAGTTGCAAGCTACCAGGAGCACAGTGCTATCCATGTTCATCATCTCCAATGACTGGCACTGAGTTTTATACATAATATGATCTCCACCAGTGTCTGCTAAATTGATTGTGGACTTTCAGCCAAAATTGCATTTATATAATGAAGTATACGAGAACATTCCTCTAAGGTTTTGTTCTAAAATGTATTTTGTATGCAATTCTTATTGCTGTTGTGGAAGAAATACTCTATATAACCTAGGAATGTCAAATGTTCAAAAAAAAAAAAAAAAAAAAGCTTACAACAGCTGAAAAAAAAAAAAAAACCTGCCTGTTTATTTTTTCTTTTTGTCTTAGCTCACAGAGCTACAGAGTCCATCCTTATCATACAAATAAAGGAGTCACTAAATGGTAGAATTCCAATAAACATGTGTGACAAGCTCTTTTTTTATAACGGGAATTATGTATGGGCATTATTAGTACAGAAAGTATGGTTAAGTGTGGATGTGGAAAATTGACAGTTTGTCCCTTTTCCCTTAGTCATTATGACAAAACATTCGACAGCCACAGTCTAAAGGAGGGGAGGTTTATAGTGATACACAGCTTCAGGATGTGCAGCCCAAGCTCATTTGGCTCTAAGACAGAAATAGCACAGTGTAAGAATAAGGTGGGGAAAGAAGCTCAAGCCATGCTGGCAGGAAGCAGAAAGGAGAAATCAGAAACAAGAATTCTACCTTTTAGGTTCCATCCACAGTTATCTGCCCCCTCCAACTAGGCCCCAGGGAAACATTTTATATCTGAATCACAACGCGAAGAGCGACAGGGGTTTACATCTGCCTCTCCTCCCAAGGCTCCTGATGTGTGTGATGTGATGGTGGCTGTGAAGCATGGAGCCATTTGTGCTAGTGATTTACAGAAGTCCTTTATTAATGATTTTATTCTTAGTGCAAAAACTAACTATTTTAATGCTTTAAGGGGGCAAGAAAGGGAACTTGAAAGATGTCTAAGATCACCAATCCAGTGGGAAGATCAGAGAAGCAAGAAACACAAATACCTGACTATGGGAATTTTCCTGCTTGACTAAAGGGGCCAGTGCAAATCATAGGCAGGCCCAGTGGGAAATGCGCAGCTCTCAGAGATTCACTGTGCCTTAGAGTAAGTGCAAGGAGAACTGTCTGAGAGCTGCATCACCGTGCGAAAGGACTCAGTAGAGAGAAATCCGCAACCCACGGATGGTGTAGTCAGCAACAGGACTTTCTGATCTCAGTATCACCTACATATTTCCTGATGCTGATTAAAGTTTGGCAAAGTGTTCCAGGAAATGGACTGCCCACTCTTGGAATTTCTATATTTTGTTACTTCTCTGTAACAGGCATCTCCCAATTCAAGATACTATGAATCCTCTAGGAGAGACAAAAAAGTCACCCTGCCCTACCAAAGAAAGGGCAGTTGTGGTCTTTCAAGCTGAGGGGAGGCAAATAATAATATCTGTGTTCAAATAATATTTATTCCATCACCATTGAGATCCTTAAATAGATTAGTCTGTAAGTCACCAGGGTATGCTCTACACATATTTACAGGGTCTTTGGTACTGATGATGGGTAATTTGTAATTTTACATTCCTCCTCCATAACTCGTAAAAGGCAAATTTGCAGTAAAGTTGATAGTAGTTGCTAAAGTAAACCTATTCCATATTTGTGGACCACTGAATTCAGACTACTTACTACATAATAAAACTAGAGAATATTTTGCAAATAGGTTTGTTTTATTCCATAATTACATTCAAAGAATGAAAATATACAAACTATTTGATAGAAGTCAAAACACAGGGGAAAGTCTTGACGGAGTAAAGACAGGAGATACATCTCAGCATTAAAAAAAAATCATTGGGGGATATTTAACCTGAAAACCATATAATAAATAAACAAGTCATTTGTATATTGCTTGAAAATAAGGTTTGTAAGTTGACATGCAGCCCATTCACAGTGGACTAATAAATTAATGTAATTTTAATGTATTCTTTAATATTGACATAAAATATCTTTGTTTGTACTTATGAAAGAAAAGAAATCGTTTGCATGGGTTTCATGGTAGCGCCTACTTAGAAAACAACCTAGCCTCTATTTACACCCTTAAGACAATTTTAAGGTTTTTTGCACAATAGAATGTAACCCAAATCATGCTGGTATAATGTACAGATTGAGTTTGTATTTCTGTTACACAGTATAGCTATAGCCATACTAGAACTCCATTCTGTATCAAATCTATAATAGTTTTGTCTTAAATATATACAGAACAAATTAGGAAAAATCTGATATGTTGAGATAATTGTCCAATTGATAAAACTGCAACCAGTTTGATTCAAAAAGCCATCTTTTTCAATGAACAACTGTACATTGCTAAGTTTCTAAAAACATTTGGTGATATAGGTAATTGTCCATATCCTTGGATTCCACATCTATGGATCCAAGCAACTGCAGATAAGAAATATTCCAAAATTACTGCATCTGTCCCCAATGACAGGCTGTCATTGCTGTGTACAAACTGTAGCATAACAGCTATTCATGTTGTGCTACATTTTATACGCATGTAATCTGGATGTCATCTAAAGACTACAGCAGGATGTGCCTAGTTATATACAAATACTGCCCCAATTGCTCTACAGACTTGAGCAACTGTATATTTTGGTATCTGTCTTATGACCAATCCGTAAACACCAATGGACAAGTCTATTCAACTGACACTATAAAATATATTTCAAATTTTTAAATATTTATTTTAATGTGAAGTGTAAGTCACTTGAATATATAATTATTTTGCATTTATTATCTCAAGCAATACTTCAGAAAGTACTGCTGCATATTTCTATTTTAGGTGAGTTGATTTTTTTTAGTATAGACCAAAACCCTTCACAGATCTAGCCAACAACTTGCTTTGATATAACATGTTTTGAATAAGGAGAGCATGTTAGTGTTCTCTAATACTAGTTTCCATCAGAAGTCATCTAGAAAGTTTATAAAAACATGGATTCCTGGAGAGTTTAGTAGGTCTGTAGTGAGAGCTGAGATTTTGTATATCATAGTATTCAAGAACCAATAGTATTCAAGAACCAATGAAAACCGAAATTGATTTTTTATAAAAATTCTGACAAACTATATTCTGCAAACTATGGATAAACTTTAGGGAAAAAAAAACTCCTGCCAACATGCATTTTGCAATAAACTTCAATAATTACTAATTCAAAATACTCTTGCATATATATATATTAGCAGCTTTTTAAGATAATTAACAAACTTCCAATTCAGAATATGCTGGATACTGAAGAATCTCCACCTGTTTGATTTTATTTTGGCAAAGCACAATATCTGATGTGAAATAAAACAATATAAAAATTCATAATATAAATACAATTAAAATTTCAATCTATTTGCATGAGGGCACACATATGACATTGTATTTTGATAGAGCATTCATTGGGTTATGAAATATTGTAAAACTCTGCCACCTAAGAAATTTCAAATCTAATATCAGATATATGAATCAGTTAGCAAATTATTCATGGTAAGATAACAGGTATACTTTGATTAGTATTTTTGTTTAAAAATATTACACTTTCTACATTATCAAAACCTAGTTTTCAGTCCTTATGAATATCTCAAGATCTCAGCATATTGTAGATAAATGCCAAGCATATTTCTAATTCTCTGATTTTGTAGTACCTAAATGTTATCTACTTAGTAATGTGGGAGAAAGAGTCACACAAAAGTAAGCAATAGTAAAAATATTTCAAAAATATGAAACATGCTTATAGGCTTGGAAGCCTTAAAATTTTCATATAGGTTATTGCAATAGGTATATACAATGAATGGGTATTTTCATTTACATTGCTTAATATTACATTGTACAATTAGTATTCTATTTGACATTTTCCTTTTATTATGTATCATATGTCTAGTGTATTTCACAAATTGGAAACTTAAGTGAAACAAAGTGTTTCATACAGTGAAGAATTACACAAAATTTCCACTGGTCTCCTGTGATATTTCTAATGAGAAGCTCCATATGTTTAATTTTTGGCATTTTCTAAGGTCCAGGGTGAACAGACGGAGACATTCTAGAATGCAATCAAGGTAATGAGGCCCATCACAAAAGCTCAGAATCATTTTCACAACACTTCCTCTACTTCTTCAGTCACTGACTTCAATGCCTAACCTCTCCTAAGACTTATCATCAAGACTCTGTTGTTATTATGTTCTTGAACTTATATACTTACAATCAGGAGGCATCTTTTCCATAAATACTGCGTAATATTCTTTAAGGAGTTCAAAATTTTCCTGATTAATAGTTTCTTGCAAAGAAACATCACCAAACCTACCCAAAACAAAAAAGAAAGCAGTTATAAGTTTGCAAAATCGCTCTAAAAGTAATATTTTCACTTTGCTTTTTCTTTTTAAATGGATGGTAATAAATTCCTAAGGAAGAGTCTCATAGATTTTAAGCAACATTGCACCATGGCAATTTTAAACAAATTCCCATCTCCACTGGCCCAGATACTAGCAATCTTTTCTAATAATTCCAAAATAATCTATCATCATCAAATGTGAATGTAGATGACACATTGCATGCAAAAACATCATCCCTTGTGTATGCATAATTAATACTTAAAGTCTGGTTTCCTACCGTACTCTGTACCTCCTTGCAGAGTTCCATCTCTCAATGTATGGAAAATCCTCTCTATCACTTTTTCCTCTTAAATCTTTCTTTGAAGCCAGGGCAGCCTGGGGAGGGCACTTGGAAACCAGGACTGGGCACTGCACTGCACATGCTCGTGTGCATTGCTGGTGACTTCAGGGACAAGTACAGCTCCACACCCCCTGAATGGCTCGCTTTTGCACACTTTTTTCTTCTGCCCACAAAGGCTTCTGTTTCTATACCAGTGCCCTCTGTCTCTTCTTCAAGGAAAAAGTTTCTTCCTACATATCACCGAGAGCTGTCTTCTCTGAGAATTCTCTATTTCAAACTTAAAGAGTCAATTTGTCTTGCTGTAAAAGGATGCTGTGTAAGTGGCTTCTGGTATTGGTTTCCATCCAAGTCTGTATTTGCAGATGTTAGTTTAAATTTCAGTGTGATTTGTCCCCCAAACTTCACCTGAAGGAAACTAAAAACCAGAACCACTTCTTTGTATGGATAATATGTAAGCTTATCCCCAATTTTGTCAATACCTAGGTTCAAAGATGAGGTACCACTTTAGATTTTTTCTTCACAATTCATTGGTCTTTTAACATTTTTATCTTATTTTGGTCTTTTTCTTTACCACTACCACTATCTATTACATATTTAATTATGCTCCTAAAGCTGCACAAGTACTCTAATCCTATGGGTCTTGTTTCCTTTCCTTCCAGCCTACTCTATGGAACATGCTCACACCATTCATTCACTCGACAAATATTTATTTAATAACAACAGTGCACTAGCCATTGTACTATGTGTAACTGAAATCTTGGTAAAATTAACCTAACACACATTTCATCTTATCAGTTTACTGAACTACAATGATTTTCCATTCTCCATAAAGACAACATTGTTCCCTTAGTTTAACATTTAATTGTCTGCAAAGGCCTCTGAAGATACTTATGGGAATACAGTTATACCCTTCTCTTTTACCAGATGTATTTTAATTCCTTTGATAATTCTGACACGTGTTCCTCCTCTGAATAAAATGTCTTACCTTCCTTTTTGGCTAAATTATTACCTATTCATCTTTTAAAGCCAACAAAAGGCTCACCTCTCTGAGACCTGTCCCATGAACTCATGTCTCATCTGAATTATTTTCCATGTTGTACCCTCTCTGTATGATTACTACAGGAGTCAAATGGAACACAATATTTGTCATCTTATCTTCCTTATTGTATGTCAGTTCCTTCAGGACAGGGATCAGATCCCATGCTTCTTGGTACCTGTTTTCTCCTAATGTCTTGTCCCTTGGAAGAGCAATGCCTAGTCTAGCCTGTGTTCAGTATCTGTACTGAGTTGATTATGGAATACAGGATGATCATCCCAGGAAAATCTCTAGAGTTTCATTAAACTTAAAATGTATTCTTTATGTGCCACTACAATCAACTGCAATTTTTAAAATATCACTTTTGCTGAAGTAATGCAGCATCATTCACTAAATGTGTGTGCCTCACAACATTTATGTGCTGAACCCCTAATTCCCAGGGTGATAGCATTGAATGTTGGGGGCTCTGAGGAAGCACCAAGGTTAAATGAGGCTGTGAGAGTAGGCTCTGATCCCATAGGATTAACGACCTTAGAAAAAGTGAGTCTGCAAAGCCACTCCAACCATCACCTGTGCACAGAGGTCACGTGATCCACTGCCTGTGAGCCAGTAAAGAGCCCTCACCAGATCACCAGAAACCGAGTCAGACATCACTGTGCTCTGTGACTTTCCAGTCTCATCAACTGTGAGAAATACTTTCTGCTATTGTTTCTAAGTTACCTACTTAGTATTTTGAAACAGTAACCCAAACTGACCCAAAATATGTAATAGATAGTGGTAGTAGTAAAGAAAAAGACCAATAGAAATAGCATTTCACTGTTTAACAAGTGTCTCATGAAATATGTTTTGCTTTCAGGTAAACGCACAGTAAATTGATAGATAGGGCAGTATGCCTCACCCTCGGATGTTTCCTGGTGAAGCCCAAAATTCTGAACTGGAAAACAGGATCACAGCACAGAGAGGAAGTGACCGCTCAGATCGGTATTTGGTGTCAGAGTGCTGCTCTCACGCAGCCTTCCTGCTTCCCTCAGCACTTTCCTCTAGCTTGCATTTTGTGCCCTTTCCAAGTCTGTGTGTTATACAGCTTCCAGGTAGGAAAAAGTGGATTTTAATATGCAAGAGAGATGGGAAGGAAAGGAAGGATATTTTCAATAAAGTGACTGACAACAGAAACAGTCACAGTGACATGGAGGATGCAAATTAGTTCAATATGAACACTAAACAGTCCTTGAAAATGCTTCATAGTTCCTGATAAGCCATGGAAGAGTGCTACATCTCTCTCAAGATCACACTCACATGCTTTAACTGATTAACTCAATCCTTAAACAGTCTACCAAAGAGGATGCAATTGTAGCATGGTCATACTCTTCTACCCAAGTTGAATAATTTGTATTCAGGGATAACAATCACTATCAACACTACATTTGCTGTGTATATATGAAATAGATAGATACACAGATAGACAGAACTGGAATATAATCGTATCTTTGCTATGGATTTCAGAAGTACTTATTATCAATAAAGCTTCATGTACAATGTAGTGAATAAAATTATACTGTGCTTTGTGCATTCTATAACAGAAAAGACTAAAATGTTCAACATGGCTTGGAATTCCATCCACAGAACACAACTTCATCATTGACTTGTTTACTGAAAGATCATAACTTGTGTTGTCCAGAAAATATATTTTGGGGAAGATGAATAGAAGAGTAAAAATTTTGAAAATAATTCATAAGAGCAGGCATTTTGAGAATCTTTGAAATTCAATAAGATTATAATTAGAGAGTTTTATTTTAGTAAAAGACTAATAAATAGGTAATATATGCTTAACAAGTCATGGCACTTTAAAACTTCCTAACAGGAAGGAGACACTGGAAAGTAAATTATAGACAAGAAAGCATTTTAATTAGTAAAGACTATCAACCTCTCCAAAATTTGCCTGTGGGTGAACTTCTCCAACTAGATGATAAATTCTATCTCTGAAACTGTTTACAACTGAGTTGTAGAAATTTGGACTGCTCCTTATATTATTTATGTAAATAATATCCTCCACATGTGAACTATATAAAATGCAAAAATTAAATTCTGTGATCATATAAGTGGTTTTTGATAATGACCCTAGGAATTGGGTCAACCATTATTTGTAGTCTCAGAAAGTCCTTCAAGAAAGCATCTCAACATCATCCCACAGTAGCTATTATAATAAAAGAAACAAAAAGAGGAAAATAGACTGCTTTAGGTTCAAAAATTAAACTTTAGCTTTTGATGTATTTAAAACACATGAAAATTATTAAAATACATACAATTATTAAACTTTGATACAAATGTAGGTGTTTGGAAATGAAAATAAAGATAGTCCATGTGAATACTTTGGCATTGACATCAGTGTTTTCCTCAGTGCCATGGAAACACTTAAATTTGATTTGGGTAAGAAAACCTTAAATATAAATATTTGACCTTCATATGCCAATTACTCTGTTACTGATTAAAAAGGAAATGTATTTAAGTGTGTCCATGTGCAGAAATGTGGAAGTTTTCAGTATTTTCTTAAAATGAAGAAAAACAAACCGAATAATATCCTTATACCTAAAGCTTACCTCTCAGCAAGGGTTTGCTGTTCATTGATTCCTACATTAAAAAGCACTGGATAGACATGCAGCAACTGTCCTTCTCTGATAGGCAAAGGGAGCACCTCGAACATTCTGGCTGGAACTTTGACCTCCACCACGTAGTGCTCTCTGGTGAAGGGAAGGAGTAGAGGCTGGTTTAGGGACCTCGTTTGTTTCTGATTGTTTTAGATTCATTGGAAAGAAACAATAAAAACTTAGAATGTTGCACTGATGGAGTCCTTGGCTGTTCTATATACTTACTTTCTATTCATTCACACCAGAAATAGTCTATTATTTTATTATGAAGTTAGCTGGCACAAAGAATTATAAGTATTTGTTTACATGTTTGATTTCTTTACATTACTCTTTAGAAAAAGAGACATATTAGATTCATGGTTTTAGACACTTACGACTGTGTACATAGGTATCTTCAGTGTTTGCTCCCTTGATATTTTAAAAATCCTATCGGTTTTAAGAATAAGTAGTCTAATAATAAATTTTGTAATACTTTGAAGCCTAATAAACTAAATCATTTATAATATTTCTTGGCATAGCTCAATTGCTATTATTATTGATGAACCATACTGTTTGTGATGCCTTGATAGAAATGAAGGGGTTAATTATTTAAGAAGTAACCTTTTTGGAATCTTGCTCATTCTACAACATATACACAACCGAGAAACATTTTTATTGAACATTTCACTCAAAATTATCCTCCATGTTTAATGTTGAAAATTTAGAATTTATAACATATGCCAGCCAAAGTAGTGGCTTCGGTGTTCTGAAATTTTATATGTAATGTGAACTGAGCATAGAAATGTAAAGAGTGTAGTTTAGATGTGTAGAAAATCTATGTATTTCTAGAACCTCAAGAGTTGTGGGTTGTAAAATCGGGAATATATAGTGAGACTCTAAGAAAACCTTTTAGATGTTTCCTACTTTAATATTGATAAGTAGTAAGGATCATTGATTCTTAGGCACATTTTTTTCCTAGCTATAAACCAGAGAGTTGGCAACAACCATGAATCCAGCCACAGGGATGTCAGCATTGCCCTAAGATTGATGGACATATTATTTTTCTTGTTTAATTGATTTCATTGCCATTGACTGTAGCCTCACAGAAGGCTGATGGTTATTTCAATCCTTTCAAGAATATTGAAGCATCAATGATTACATTTAAAAGTTGCTTGGACAGTGAAGTACATTTTAAAATTTTTGTTATAAATTTTATCAGCTTGAGACATAATTGACATAGCTATTTAAATATATAGTTCAGAGTTTTAGCAAATTTACAGAGTTGTGCATACATCATCACAACCCGGTTTTACAACAATTCTATCACCTTAAAAATATCTCTCATGCTTGTCAATGACATTACCAAGGGAAGGGAATCTCTTCTACTTTTCTGTATCTCTACTGGAATAGATCCACATAATATACAGTCTTTTCTAGCTGGACTTGCGCCTAACTTTTGAAGTTATTCATGTAGTGTTTTTTTTCTTTGAGCCAGATCCTATTGCATGGGGCATATCATGTCACGTTTTATCTACTCATTTGATAGTCGATGGTTACTTGGATTATTTCATGGTATGAACTATCCTGAAAAATGCTGCTGTCAACATTCACACAAAAGCTTTTGTGTGGAAAAATGCTTCATTCTCTCTTGGTAGCATACCTAGAAGTAATATGGTAACTTTATTAAAAGAAACTGCTTATTTCCAAAATGGCTGTTCCATTTTACATTCCCACCAGCAACATATGGAAAAGTTTCCAATTTTCTACAACTTTATCAGTACTTGTTATTTGACTTTTCAATCTATTGTAAGTTGGCATCTAATTATGGTTTTAATTTCATCTCTAATGATGTTTTCACAGTTTAGATCTAAAATACTCTTCTGTACTTTGCCTGTATCAGATAATCTGGTAAGCTTCCCTTTAATAAAGTGATAATAAACTTCCCCAGAATACACAGAGTTCTACTACTAATAGTTATGGGTATGAACAATTTCATTCCTTTTTGCTATCACAAAATGCAAATGAGGTATCATTTTCTAGGTGAGGCACTATGTTTCATGAGGTTGTATATGTGTGAATGCATGTGTGTGCATGCGTGTGTGTGTGTGTGTGTGTGTGTAACAAACAATCACCTCATCTTTTCTTCAATGATACAGCTTTAGGCATCTGTTAGGGATTAAAAACTGGTGGTCAACCTAAGGCCAACTGAATTAAATAAACCTTAAATAGAGACTTGGAGAAAAGGAGCTAGACATTGTGGGTTTCTCTAAGTGTTGCTGTGTTGAGTCTTTGTTCTCCTAGTAGAGCTCGTCATGACTAGCTTCCCCAGTGTGAGTTTGACCATTGTCATTGGAGGAGCTTGGGACCTTGTTGGTAAGAGTGGCTATGGTTCACTTTGGGGGAGCTCTGGTCCTTACATGGCTTCATGGCTCTGGAGGGGAAGATGTGTGCCTTTTAATCTCCAGTAGAAACTCATCACATTGGCTTCCTGGCATGCAGCTGACTGTTCTTATCTTTGAAGTCGCTATGGACCTCCATGTTGCTGAGCATGGCTGTGGTATTTTTCAGGGCAGCTCTAATTCTCATTTGAGAATGACTTCTTGGCTCCAGTGCAGAACACTCAACCTACGAACACAGCTCTTTCACCCCGCTGGCATAGACTTTCTAGCTTCCACCACTGACCTTTGGGCCTTCCCAGCACAGATCCATAGAACAGACTGGAGTGAGTTCTCATGGGCTCTAGGCCTCCAGTTGGACTCGTGGGAGGCATTGTCACGGGCTCTAGGTTTTCATCTGAGCTCATGCAGGACATTGCTGTGGGATCTAGGCCCTTGGCTGAATATTCTATGTCTTTAGTGTTGTGGACGGATTTCCTGCATTTTCTTGTGTTTTACTCTGGGTGAGCATCATAAAATAATATTATAAATTCTGTGTCCTGATTCTAATTGTTCTCCTCACAACCCCTGACTATAACAACATCTTTCACAAAAAAATAAAATAATGATTTTATGTTTACCTTAGGTAGGAAAACGAAAATTGACCTTTAGACTGTATCTCTTTCTGTCTGACTGGCACCTTCCCTTTGTACACTGCCACCTGAGAATGTTTCAAATTTTAAGCAACTCCATTCAGTACTCACATTACAATGACTGAAATTTGGAGAACTTCTAATTAAATAACTTACTATAAGATATAATTCTTCTATCAGCTATATACATTACATGCTACCATTTCTCTTAATTATTTTTGATATTTTGCCCATTATATCCTGACCTTCTAAGCTATTTATTTAAAACTCTTCTCGGAAATCTCACAGTTTGAGAATGAATTGTCAAAAATAATTAAGAAAAATGATGGTATATGCCCTTGACATGGGAATATATCTTTCCTAAAATGTTGCTGCTTTTAACTGAATTTAATTTGAAGCCATCTCAAGAATTATGAAGCTATTAACTGAACGATTCCCGCAAAAGTGAAAACATCTACAGATTCTGAATAGGTAGGAATGCTATTCTCATGCATGCTATTATATTAAATTTCTCATATTTCACAGAGGAACATTATCATACTCACCTTTCTATGATATACAAACACTTATGAGATGTTGCAAGTTTTTAAAAACCTTCTCTGCCATGAAAGAGAACAAAAGAAAATTTCTGAAGAAACCCAAATTCTTCTAAGGCTCCATTGTTTTTTTTTGGTTATGCATTAATACAACTTGTGTGACACACTAGATTTTTAGAAATGGGTATCACTCACCGTCTTCCTGTTATAACTGGCAAGACATCATTGGATTTGGCTTCAATTATTTTAAATGCTACTTTCTTCAAATCAGAAATGCCAACAGCCATGTCCTCTAGCATTCCGATTTCATCACCTAAACAAAGGAAAAGGTGCCTTGGTACAAACATACTATTTAAAGAAAATGTCACCAGCTACTCTACTTCTCTGCTGGAATTTGTTCTAGTATTTTAGGGAACAAGTTTCTGAATATAGCAAATCTATTCTACATACTTTTCTTCATAGGCTGAAGGTTTTCATCAACAAAAAATAGGATCCTTTTTAATAGACTCTATAAGTCAATGCAACCTTTACAAAATAAGAATGTACACTTTGCTAGGCAGCTGGAAAGAGATTTTTAACCCTTTTAGGAAATAAAACATTTTAACCCTTTTAGGAAAGATGTATTTTTATTGACAGGATTGATATTTGATTGCTAGAAACAAAGAGATGGCTGAACTGATTCACAGAAAACCCTGACAACTAAAGCCTGAGGAGGAAATAATTAAGATTCTAGATTAGCTTTATCCAACAGAAACAGAATGTGAGCTAAATAAATAATTTTACATTTTCTGGTAGTCATTCTATTAAAATAATAAAATTTTAAAAAGTAAAATTAAGTTTAATAATACATTTCATTTAACCTAGTATATTCAAAGATGCCATATCAGCCGTGGATCAAAGCTATTAATAAATGATATAAAATAACTTTTCCTAGTTTCTGAGGTCAGCTATGCATGACTAGAACATACTGATTTGGACGAGACTCATTTTAAATGATCCCTGTACACTTAGGGGTAGTGTATTGAACACTGCAGTTCTAGATCTTAACACTGTAGGCTTCAAACTCCAGTCATTGAAACTATGTCAGGAAAGAGTCTTTTTTTGTTATAAAAGAGGCCAGATAACTGCTCAGGAGTCCCCACTGAAATAATTCAAGTTCTATTTACAAATCATAATGGCAAAAATGTTAAAGGATAAATGAATGCAAAAACTAAAAGTTATATTAGTTTTGCAGTACTGGGTATGCCAAAGGCTTACTTACTGTTAAGCTTACCCGAGAAGGTGATGTTTAAATACCCTTATGAATAGGATTGGGATTTGAACCTGCACTAAAGCAATACTCACTGTACGTGCTCAGCAGTCCCTCATATTGCACTATCAAGCCCACCGTGTGCAGCTGCTGCAGGAAGTCAGGGTCATGCAAACTTGTGTGCAGTTTGATGATGAAACCACAAACCAATCCAGCAAGCTAAAAAAAAAAATCATTAAAGAAAGTTACTGGGATCAGGAAGCTCAATAGTTACTTTTAAAATATTTTAAGACTTGAGACATTACAGATTTAATCAAAAACTCTCAGAGATATTCCTATTTATACAAATATATCAGAATAAATCATAGTCATTGACTCAGCAAAGCAGTAAATAAAAGGCTCGGGAAAGCATTGCTGAGAAAGGATGAACATATGAACTTCCAGTCAGGATAATGGGTTTCAAATTATACGCGTATTATTTCTAACAAAAAAAAAAAACATAAAAAAAGTGATTCAGCACTTCCAAATAGTATTACTGTTATTGTTTGCACATGTAGAAGACAGCAGACAGCATATATTCCACAAATCACTGAATGGAAACAATGAAAAATACGTATAGGGCATAGCAAAATCTGTGACACTCGTTTAACTCCTGGTGCCCCTGGAAACACCCTGCCCCCATGAAATAGTGCAACAGAGAATAGGGTATTTTGGTTGAAACAGTCCCTTTGCATGGAATATCTACAAGGGGGTCGTTTTGCCTCCTTCTTTCCATGTGTTTTGTCTGTAAACTAAACCAGGGAGTTTGAAGCAGATGAGGACCAGGCAGGCATTAACACAGCACTGTGACAAGCTGGCATGGCATCCCAAATAGTGACAGAGGTCAGCAAAGAGATGATTCCAGTAGACCTCCTACTCAAGTGTGGCTCTGGAAAATTATTCTGTATACAAAATAAGAAAGTATTGCAAATGCTTGGGTTCACTGGGGAACTGAATAAACAAGAGGTTGAAAACAGATCCCGCTTGCCATTACTCCCTTCCCTGGCACTGCGGTCAGACTCCGGGTTACCCTTTCCTTCACAGACTCTGTGCCCTATTCAACAGTATGTGTGTTTCAGAGACTTCGTCCTCTCTTTTCAGAAAGAAAAAATAATGGTATTCATTAGTTATTCAGCGATAGTCATTATGAATAAGAAAAAGTGGGAGCCAAAACCTTAAGAAAAGCATCTCTTTAAAAAGAAAATTGCCAAAAGAAGGACGCTATCCTCATCAAATAAAAAGTCTAACGGATCCTGTGCTGTTCTGTACAAGTAACGAGAACCCGACCTACCGCTTGGCTGAAGACAATGTCCCTTCTTAGGGTCAACATCAGACACTGAGGCAAGCTGTAGGCGAGCTCCTGCAGCAACACGAACGTCAGGGACTGCTTAGCTCGGCTCACCACTTCTCCCATGCAATCCTTCAGCGCGAGGATGAGCGGATGCAGCTGTTCATACCAGTCTTCTGGAAGAGGGGGAAGGAACAGTGGGACAGATCAGTGAAGGTCTTGGATTGGTCTAGAACCAATTTACTATTGTTTACAGTGTACTATTCCTTATGTAAAATCCATGCGTACTATTAAGGAATCATGTGATCAATAATCGAGATACAGGACCTTGAATGATTAGGCCTAGTCCAGCTCTGAGTATGACGTGAAAGCACAGCATATGGGCCAGCAAGCGGAGGTGAGAAAACACACCTGGATGTGGGTAGCACCAAGCAATAGCCTGGAGCCAGGATGAAACACAAAAGGGGAAAGAAAAGGGTATGTGCCTATTTCAAAGAGCTCTTGCCTTTTTCAGTGGGTACATTCTTTGCTGCCATCACCAGTCTCCAAGTCTTTAGTATTTTCTGCCTTCCAATGAAAATTCACAGTAGTGACTCTCTAGTGGTCATCCAGGTCTGTGTCCTTGGACTAGTGCAGCTGAGTCATTGCTGCCTGCAGCTTCCGTCTCCTTGGGCTGAGCACCTACTGGACTCTCTGGCTCTCTAGTGCACAGAGCACCTACTGGACTCTCTGGCTCTCTAGTGCACAGATCCCACTGTGGACTCTCCTGCTTCTGACCCTGTCACCCCACCTGATTAAATCCCCTTGCATCATTACACATATATTTCCTAGTGATTCTGTTCCTGTAGTGAACCCCAATTTAAATAGCTTTGTAATGATTAGATTTGAAGAGCTCTAATTTTAGTGACTCTCCTGAACTCTCCAAGTCCATGGTCAACCAATCACTGCATCTGTGCTTGGATGCATATAATACAGTTACAATAGATTGCCTTTTCTATTTCTCCTTTCCTACTTACAACAGTTCTCTTTTCGTACTTTTTGGGCACAGCCTTGTGTTAATGGATGGTGACACCAAACTCTTCCAATGCTGGAAACAGAAATTTTATTATACTTCTCTCATAGGTTACACAGTACCTTGGCCATTAAATTGGCTCCACTGTTACAATATCCATCTAACATTCGTCAGCTCCTTGCCCTGTCCCGTCAGCATCTATTGCTTTCTCAGATCACATTTTTGCCTTTCCTAACAGACCTTGCTTCATCCAGTCATATCTCTGCTCAAGTTCCTTCTCTTTGGTGTTGCTAGGAGATTTCTAATCAGTTTGAATTTCATTACATTTACTCAGTTCGGACTCCTTAGTTAAAATATAAAAAAATAAAAAAAAAAAGAGAGAGAGAGAGAGAATAAACAAGGGGTTGAAAACAGATTCCCCCTTGCCAAGAGAGAGAGAGAAAGAAAACCAACACCAAACACACAAATAACAGCAGCAATAACAATGACAAAAATCCAAAGCATTCACAATGAGTTGCAAACTCACTAAAGGTCCACTGTTACCTGGCCTTTGCCTTCCTGTCCAATTCTCTCTCAGCACTTCGTAGTCTTGAGTACTGAGTGTATTGAAAAACATGTTTTCGCCTAAACTACCTCTGTTCTTTCATTTAAGCATCTGTCTTAGTCACTTTTCCATCTCTCAGTCATGGTACCCAACATTTGAACTTAAAGGAAGTAAGGTTTATTTGGTCTCACATTTGTAGTTGATGATCAGTTGGCTCCAAGCAGGAAACAGGACAGCACAGGACATGGCTGAGGAAAAGATGTTTACAACATGGCAGCCATGAAGCAGAGAAGGAGAGGGAATGGAGGCAGGGAGACATCTTCTAGGTCGTGACCCCAGGGACACCCCTCAACCGTCCTTCTGACAGCAAGGTAGCTATGAACTTATCTAAGGTCTGACCTACTATTATGTAGAGCACCCCATGATCCAATTACTTTACAAATGGAAAAGGCTTTGGGGGCACATTTTATATCTAAATTATAACAGTATTTTGGCAAATCTCATTTCATCTTTTAAAACTATTTCTCTATTTCTTGATAGGCATTTTATCTCCTCTGAAAATTTGATTCAGAATCTCTGTCCTCCAGAAGTCTTCCTTGATAACCCCTATTCTCCACTCTGTTTTTGGAAGTTCGGACTGAGTTCACTTTCTTTTGCACCAATTGCTTCTTATCCTTACTACAGGGGCTAATCACATACTATCTTCGGCTGCAAGGAAGACACCTTGCTGAGGGAAAGAAATTTCCTTTTTTTCTTTAATTACTGAATTTCCAGAACCTAGCCCAGTGCCTAGTAGGTAACAGAAACAGGAACTTTTAAACGAACGAGTAAATTTACGATAATAGCAAAAGTTTTAAACATAATGACAAATACAAGGAAGCCAGTTTTTTGCAGTAGTCAAACAGCTTTCCTTCAAATGAGATCAAAATTGACAAGACTTGTGTTATGTATATGCCTAGACTCCTAAATGCTTCAATTACAGTGGTACCTCTGCTTGTGAACTTAATTATTTCCACAATTCTGGTCCCAAACCAAATTGGATGAGAACCAAATCAAATTTCCCCATAAGATCAACCTTGAACTTCACCATTAAATTTGATTAAATTCTTGTCCAATGTGAGTGATTTCAGACATCAATAACCAGTTAAGACCTTGAAAGAGTTACAGGGAACAATGATCAGAAGAATCATAGTCACTGCTGTGCCATGTCTACACTCACTAAGTTGTGATATGCTGGGGGGCAAAGACTAGACAAAATAAAGCAAAATGGTACAACATATAATGAATGCTCTGAAGTTAACAAAAGACACACTTTTATTAACACACTATGCAAATGCTTGCATGATGCCATAATGTAACATACGTTAGAAACGTTATGGTTTATTTATTTTTAAAACATGACAGTCTTGAGCGTTATTATGGAAATAAAAAATGAGAAAAATAGTAATGTGAAGGCCTATTAAATCTGTAGTCATTTAAAAAACAAGATCCTTCTCTGCAGTCTACAATGAAATATGACCAATGTTTTAATATAAATAAACATTGGTTAATGATTATTTTACTGGCACACATAAAATGGAAATTTGAGATACATCATTTATTTTCATAGAAATAAACATCAGTAGACACCAAAAAGGAATATCATATATTTTCACATATTCATCCTCTCTTTCTCTCTGCTTCTAATTGTTGTTAATATGAAATGGAAGATTAATACACACAGAGAGGAAAACACTAGGAGAAAAATTCCAGTACACTGATACACAGATGTAGATGTAAAAAAAAAAAAAATAGCACATTGCAAACAAACATTTTTGTCCTTGGTTCTGTAGAAATCAACTTGTAATGAATTCCAAAATACCAAGTAATGCTTTTGTGCAGTAGGTGGCACTGCTCCATCAGACTGCACAGAACTGCTTTGTCACTCATTCTGTTCAGGCAAAGAATTTTCATTTCCTTGCACCTTCATGTAGCTCCCAAATAGTGCCTGTGTATTGTTTAAACACAGGCATCACACTGGCCTGTGCCAGGAGGGCAGTAACGTGGCTATGAGGTGCTATGCGCTCTAATTTGAAAACAGAATATTAACTGAGCTGTTCAGTTTTTCCCCCTAGAAAGGTGTTAGAGGATCATTCAAATGAAAGGCAGCTGTTGGTTTTTCTTAAAGGACATTTTTTTAAAAAGGAAACCTCATATACTTTATTAGGATAAGGATAATGTCCTTACTCTTGTCTAAGTCTGTCATCACATACTTTAGCTAGTTGATTCCTTATCGTGAATTGTAATAAGGTAAACCAAAGGGGTGTGTGTGGAGTGAGAGACAGAGAGAAGGAGAGAGAGAGAGAGACAGAGAGACAGAGACAGGGTGGGAGACATAGAAGGAGGAGGAGAAAGTCTGAATCCTAGTTCTATGAGAGTAAGGGTAGAAACCTGGAAAAAAGTAACAGTGATATTCCAAATCTAGGAGCAAGTGATTCTTTGCTTTTAGAAATATTCTAGTGCCTCTATTTAGTAAATATGTTATGATTAAGTTTAAGAAATGTGATAATATAGGAAAATATTAATTATGGATAAATTTTCATGTTTATGCATGCTATAGTCTGCATCTGAAATGTTCCTCAAGAGCTCATGCACTGAAGGCTTTGTGCCCAGTGAATCAGTCTTCAGAGGTGGGGCCTTCAGAAGGTAACTAGACCTCAAGGGCTCTAACTATATTAGTGGGTAATCCACTGAAGAGCTCAGCGTTTACTGGGGTGTTGAAACATGGTGGAGACTATAGAAGTGGGGCCTACTTGGAGGAAGTAGGGGATTGGGGAGCTGCCCTTGTTCAAACCACACCCCCTCTATGTGCTTTTTGGCTGCCATGGGTGATCAGTTTGCCCCTCATGTGTTCCCTGCCATGATGCTCTCTCCCTAAAGCAGGTCCAGAAACATGGCCATGTGACTGGGCCTCTAAATCCATGAGTCAAAATAAATCTTTCTTCCTTAAGTCGATTTTCTCAGTTATTTTGCCACAGGAGCAAAAGGCTGACTAACATAGTTAACACGGTAAAATATCTTCATGATAGCAGAGAGATGCAGGCAATACTGTCTACTATGGAGAACACTAAATTACAAAGCTAAAGACACATATTTCTCAAAAGAAACAAATAAATCCCCAGATAAGGAAAACTGCACAAAATGCAAATTGCAATTACAGATTTTCTTCTCCAGCAATACGCATGTTTTGAAATAAACACAATGAGATATGACAGGCCAAAGAAAGGCAGATATCCATTCATAAGTGGTCTTTCTGCTCCAGTGAACATTCTAAATACTCTCACAAAGGAAGAGAAAATTGTTTAGTTTTCTCTTTAAAAATATTTTTGGGGAAAGAAAACTGCTCCAGCCCTTTTCAGTCTTGAGAGTGCTGTAATTTGTCCCTTACACTTGCATCCTTCCACACACTACCATTTACATGGTGTTTCTTTTATCCTCCAGATAAAGCTGCTTTCTGTATAATGATGAAAATGGGATTAATTTTGCAATATCTGGTACAAGAAATTGTGAAACAGACATACATCCACTCTTCTGTGTTTATATTCTTCAAGTTTCAACTAACATTTTATGTATGTGCATAC